TGATCGCCCTATGCTCCATGAAAAGATCCTAAGACTAGAAAAATCATGAAATCACAGCACTTCAAAGAAACTGTAATTATTTCACTACGGCCGGGCAGTTGGATGCTTTTATTCTGCTGAGGATGAGGAAGGAGAGATCGTGGATCGCAAAATGAGAGGGTTTACACAACAGCTAGGGAAAAGAAACTAAGAATCTATACTCAGGGCGATTGCTTCAGCAATTCACCCACCATTAACCATTATCTCCTGTGGCTTAATTGCTACTTCTTAAGCACTCCTCAGACTCACTCACTTGCACCCAGTTATTTTCCTTTCTTGCCTTTGTTTACCATTGTTTACCCTTTGGGACACACTGAGCAGAGTAGTTGTTCTTCATCATCAAACACTGTCTTTTCTTTTTCTTTCTTCCACAAGTTATTTCCTTACCTACACCTCTTGTCTAGATCTGTAGACATGTTCACAGTGGCTATGGCCAAGACATCTGAAATTTATACTTTCCCTTTGAACCCATAACATTTAGCTTCTGCTTCTCTCATTACTCAGGAAACAACGTCCGGTTTTTTGTTTTTTGTTTTTTTTTTTTGTGGTACGCGGGCCCCTCACTGCAGTGGCCTCTCCCGTTGCGGAGCACAGGCTCCGGACGCGCAGGCCCAGCGGCCATGGCTCACGGGCCCAGCCGCTCCGCGGCATGTGGGATCTTCCCGGACCGGGGCATGAACCCGTGTCCCCTGCATCGGCAGGCGGACTCTCAACCACTGCGCCACCAGGGAAGCCCCAACGTCAGGTTTACCGACATAAAAGTAGAGCATGCTCTCTGGTATGGATTTTCCATTCACTTGATGCTCCTTCAGAACAAGTTACTGTTCTAACTCAGGGTAATAAACCCGTGTGTGGTTCTCACAACAGCCACTTTCCCAGCAATATTCACAGGGCCAGCTTGCATCTATAACTTCAGCCCACACACAAATTAGGCAAAAAGGGCCGGGGGGGTCTGGCATAAAAATGCACACTACCTGAAAAACAGTATAAAGGACCTGTTTTAATTATGACAAATGCATTTCTGTTTTTCAAAGTCATGAGTAGTTGTACAAACATAGCTTTAAACTTTATACTTTTATTATCAACAGTAAGTGGAAAGGTTATGATTTAATAACTAATGATATTTTATAGGTTTCAATTCTGTAACTTCCCCCCAGAGGGTGTGGAGTTCCAATCTTCCGTATTTCACAGTCACTTAAACTCAATGAGTCAGCGATGGAATTAATTCTCTCTCCTGCTCCCTCCCAGAACTTATTTGTTCCCCAGCGCCCCCTCCTAGTAAATGACACCACCTTCCAGACAGCTGTTCAAATCTGATAACTCAGTGTCCCCTCACATACAATCACTAAATTCTCTTGATTCAACAGTAGCCTCAGCATACTGTGAATCTGATTCAAGTCAGGAGAACTCTCTGTCCTCATTGCTGGTCCTCTAGTTTGAGACTCCAGCTGTCCCTGGTACAAAGGAGTTCAGAAGCCTCCCAACTGAGCTGCTGCCTCTAATCTCTACCCCTCATTTAGCCCTCCAATCTGTACCCCTCATTTCAGTCTGAATGACCATTCTCAAATACAAATTGATCCCTCCAAGCAATCCTCATTCCCGTTCTTGACTAGAAGATACCCCTTCTCCTATTTGGACCATTCTCCCAGCCTCTCATGTGAAAATATCTGCACCTTAATTTCAAAACGTATTTCCGTAAACTTTCTCATACTAACCTCAATTTATCAATCACGTTATTCCTAACACCCTACACTAACGCTACCATATTTTGCATTGAGTCTGTGTAATTTTTATGACGTTGCACATTCTCATGTTTAAGAAAAAATATATTACTTTAAATTCCTCCCTATACCCAACAGCTAGTAGATTTCTCTTTCAGCAAGTGTCAACAGACATTTAAAGGATGAACACATGTATGATTCATCAAGAGCACTGGTTTTGGAAGGTGATGGATCTGATTTTAAATCCTAGGTCTAACACGGACTGTGTAATCCCAAAGTTCTTAATTTCTCTAAGTCCACTTTCGCCCGTGTCAGGAGACTTGAAGCACCCTGGTATACAACATTCTTGAGTGAGTCACTTAGGCAAAGCCCACCCAAAAGTCATATTAACTTGGTGCAGGCAATGGGAACACACAAGCTGGCAGGTTGGATGCAATCCTCCAGGCCTTCCTCAAGCTCACAAGAGGCCCACTTCATTGCCGGCACGTACAGGTGCGCTGGGACCGGGATCCGCGAGAACCCTGCTCGCGTCGCACCCTCCCACACTTTTCCTTTTTTTAAAGGATTGCGGAAGAATAGCCTTGCATATCTGGAGAAAATCCAGTCTGATCTTGGATCTGGGCTACTCAGGAGAGTTGCAGACAAAACCTTGAGAGGGCTTCTTTTGCTGACCTACAGTTCTTCCTTTTGAGGGCAGGGGACACGGGTGGTCTCAGCTATTTCTGTGCCAGACAACCCAGAGCAAGCCACAGGGGTCATTCAGCAGACCATAAAATGGTAATATCCAAGTACCTACTTCACTGTGTTGTTAAAATGGTAAAAAATAGTACCTGACACATATTAACTGTTCAGTAAATGATGATTAAAGAGTATCGTGCTTTAGTAAACTAATATTCTGCAAGGCTAATGGTACGCAGAGGTGGAGAATAAGAGTGTTGACTATGGTGTAAGTGAGGAATTAAAGTCAATTTGATCAAATACATTCCCACAAGGCATTCACACCCAACCCATTTTGAGGTTATTTTCGGTCATCTGTGAGAGTATTTTTCCATTAAGTTTATTTTTTTTCCCTTTTATCCAAAATTATCCGACAGCCATTTTACACTGAATCCTGCTGTATCATTTTACCATGTGTTTATGTTTGAGTTTAAAATGTTGGCTCTCACTATTGACCCTTCAACCGTGGGTCCATGAGAAAAGGAGGTTGACTAAGTGCTTTTACTCCAAGAGACAGCAGATGAAGTCACAGCAAAAAGAATGTTTCATGGGGTTGCGGGGCGGGTGGGGAGGAATCTGAGTTATCATCCAGCACGTGGCAGCAGTGAACTCAAAGGAGCCTGCACCCCATCAGTCACTTCATAGGGACGTTACTGTGGGAAAACAGCATCAATAGCCTCGTTAAACTAACGCTGAATTTACATATGAGATCGAATGTGTATTAAGTGTGCACTGCTGGGAAAACTGCTTAATACTTCTAAGACTCCATTAGATGGGTGATTTTTAGGATTAAATTAGTACGTCTATAAAAACTATTACCTGACGCAAAATAAGTGCTCAGTAACTGTTTGCTATTATTATACAGTGATAAATAAATATTTTGCAAGGGAGACGCTCTGAATCAGTAACTATAAATATGAATCATTTTGGAGTTTGCTTTGCTGATTGCCCATCGTGTGGCACGGGCTTTATTAAAACTCTACGATCCAAAGACAAATAAGACTGACTGTCCAGAGTCTGTGTTCCAGAATCGCAATTTTGGGTGGGACATTTTTTTAAGGATGACTTTATTCAAGTGGGATCATTGTAAAGGGAGGAGCTAACACATACCAGGAGCAGCTAAGCTGAACTGCAGAAGCCAAGACAGCTAGAAGGAAGTCGGGCAGATGATGAGAAGTAAGCTGCCCATGGCTCATCTCTGATTTAATGGCTGGAGGAGGCATGAGAATAAGCTGGGGTTCTGGAGTCTGGCAGGCAGGCTTGGCTGCAAAGCCAGCTCTGTCACTTCCTGTCTGGGTGGCTGGAACAAGTCAACATCGAATCCCTAGGCTCTAGCTTCCTCATTTGGGAATGGAACAAGTTACCTAATAATATTTATCCGGACTTTGCTTGGAATTATAGACTAGCTGGTTAATATGGTATTAGACGTGTAATAAGCACTCAAGAAAAATTTGTTACGTCTAGAATTATAAAAATTAATCCTATTAACATTAGTGCTATTGCTACTAACACTATTATGACCATTCTGCCAACGTGGTTTCTCTGTCTGACACAGGCTAGACAACTTCAGCAAGCTGCCTGCCCTCTATATGACATGCCTTCCTTTTACATAAATAAAGTGAACCTGAAAAAGTGATGAAATACATGTGAAGAAAGCTTTAGTGGCTAAAAAAATAAAGGTTTACTAGAGGAATAAGGATGCAGTGAATTGAACAGTTATGGGTTCTCTTCCAGATTCTTCTGTGGACTAAGTTGTGAGACGCTGGGCAAATTACCGACTCTCTCCAAACCTCAGACCGCTCGTCTGATAACCGTAGATCATGATAACTAAGGACAGGATGGTGTGGCTTGAGGTGGGCTATCAAGAACTCGCAGGTCTCTGTCCCACAAAAAGACATAATAAAATACTTCAGCACGAGGAGACTAAGTGAAGTCTGTGGTTTCTGTCTTTTATGTGAAAGTATTTCAAACACATCTTACATTTTGGCAGGGGTCTTTACCTTCTCTATGAATTTATGCACAGGGCATAGCATATTTATAAGTGAGTTTCATGGCATATTATTTTTAGGCTGTAGAGAAAAACATTCTTTGGTCTCAAAACAGATGATTGGTTTTACTAAATGGGCCACTGTCTTGTATTAAATTTAGGGTGCCCAGATGAAACATCATCACATATAGTCTATGGGGGGACATTCTAATATTTAAAAGTTAAGATCTGGTCAAAAATACCGGATTTGGATAAATGGATTCACATATGTCTACAAACATGTATCTCTATCTATCTGTCTATCTCCGTAACGATTTGTCTACCTGTAAAATGCTTCCATTTCTGATTTAAAATATAGAAGCTGAACACGTAAGTCAATATTGGCATGTATGGGCACAAATAAAGCTTCCCATGGAAACTGCTCCCGTTTTTTATGTCTCTTTACATAGCTCTTAAATCAATTTCAGCATACAGTTTGGCTTTTAAAACATCTCCTTTGATATCTATTCCACTGTGTTGGATAAACAAACACTTACTATATGCACATCCAAACACCTCGATTCGCATTCCAATTCTGCCCCTGGGGTTCCACTCTAAAGGTATGAAGCGCAGAAATCTGGCTTTGATAGAAGGCTGGAGTCTATAGTACACAACACTGTCTGCGTTTGCATTTCCTGAAAATCCCTAGAAGAAAAGAGAAAAGAAGGAAATCAATGTACCTGGAGAAGGTCTATTGCACTTTGTCTCCTACAATGTCAACAAGCAATGTATGATTTGCTTTTTTACTATAAAATAGCAACCTTCTTTAAGAACAGTTATGCCATAACGTGTCTTCATCCGCATAAGTTACTATTGTCTACACCTTTTTCTATCTAGCAGTTTAGATTCCACCACCTGCAGCAAGCCAGGTTTCAACTATGAAACCCCCAGTAAAGTTTGTTTCTATAAGGTGCAGACGAAACATAAAAGTTACTGACATTGTGAACCATGAGAAATATCGAGAACATCTTCCTGTATTCAAAAGCTAGGATCTGATTCACCATAGAAGTTGCTCACATCATTGATGAATGAGTAAGGTTACGACTTGTTTGTATTGTTTCACTTTATCTTACTCAGTAACAGAAATGAAAGTTATCACCAGACATTCAAGTCAGAGCTACACTCTGAGAATAGGTTGTTAAACTTCATTCACCACAAGGCTGGATACACACCTTAAAAACTGTTGTTGCGTGTCGCTTTTATTCAATTAAAAAAGAATAAAATAAAAGCACCTGTATTTAAAAAATTGTTAAGGGAAATTGGAATCAATAATAATCTGGAAAGACCTGAAATTAGACTTACAGATTTTAGATTTCAAAGCTAGAAAGACCATAGGAATGATGCTGAGCTAGCACCATCAAATTGCAGATGAGGAAATTGAACGTCAGAATGCTGAAAAAAAAATCTCCGGTGTTTGCAAAACTATTATATGGTATGACCAGGAGCTATACTCCTTCCACAATATCAGGATGCATCTACCTAACATATAGCCCACCTGCAAAACCCACACCTAAACAGCTTTTATTTTCTCCTACGTGACATATGGTAAAGCTTCATATGTGAAAAAGTTAGGATGAAGCAATTGTTCTCAATAATTGATATTTAATTTTTATTTCAGCTTCTCCTCTTCCACCTCTTCCTTCCTTTCCTCCCTGCTTTTCTCCTTCTTGTCTTCCCCTCCTCCTCCTCCTTCTTTTTTTGTTTAACTGTAACAATCAGGATACGTAGGAACTATTGAAATAAGGGATGATGCTACGACCTATTCAGTCGCGTGGTAGGTCCCCTTACCACGACTGGATCAACGAATGGGGTCACCCTCATGTAGATCATACCAAACAAAGCAAATATTTTAGGAACTCCAATACCCAGGGAGTTTATTCATTTGCCTACTTTTCTTTCTACTTCACAAATATCTCTTTACCAACATTTACTAAAATATTTTCTAACACAGTAAAAATAAAAAGTAAGGTTGGGTTTTTCAGTCAAATTAATTTGATTTGATTCCCCTTATCAGTCAACACTAATTCCTGCCCCCCAATGCCCCCCACCCCAGTACCTCATACACCCAATTTTCAGGCTCACACAAAACAGACAGTTCTATGATGGTGCCTCCAAATTATATCCCAAAGCTGGGCATCTCCCTTCATCTCAGCTACAACCACCAGGTTCAACAAAGCATTATCTCTCCAGAACTACGTCAATGGCCTCTTCCTCATGTTTTTAGTCTTCTGTTTCCTATCACCATCCCCATCCCTATCCATATCCCTCAATCTCCTTCCCTCTGAGCAGTCAGTAAGATTTTCAAAGGTAAGACGAACTACGTCACCCCCACTGCTTCCTTTACCACTTAGAAGAAAATCCCAATTCCTTATCCAACATAACACAGTCTTTGGCAATCTCCTCCATGGTGCTTTGAGCACAGGGAACCCCCGTGTAGAAGCCAAGCTCAGTCCTGCTGAGGGCCTTTGCGCCAGCTGTTCATTCTGCTGTGAAAGTGCTTCCCTTCCCTCAAGATCTTTGCACAACCAGCTCCTCTTGTCATCTCAGGCCTTGGTCTAAAGAGCACCACCTGAGACAGGCCCTTTATGATCACAGCTTCTAAAGGAAGTGTACCTGGCACCCCAGCATCTTATCTTTCTGTTTTATATTCTTCATATTACTCATTATTTGGGGGTCTTTTTTGATTATTTGTTTATCTTATCCCCTTAGAAGACAAGCTCTCTAAAGCAGGGACCTTTACTGCCTCCCTTCCATAGTACCTAGAATATGGCTTGGCTCAAAGTGGTTCTCAACAAAACATCTGTTGAATGTGTATGTTTGGGAAAGACTGGGCTTAAAAACAAATCAAAGTTCAGCAAGTTTCTTGATTATTGTATCTCTATGAAGATGTCAAATGAGAATGTACAAATGAGCACTGTATCTTCTGAGGGAGGAACAGTTATCCAGCATGTTTCAAACATAATAGGCCCACATTCCTGGCTACTATTTCCCAGAACATAAACAGGAGAAGATCGTTTAATTCCACAGATATTTGGACTCTGATAACCAGACACTTCTAGAACGTTCCATGCTATTCCACCAGTTGAAATTTCACACTGAGGATTTGATATAAAAGGTTAACTGTATTCTTTATTGTACTACCTAATCCCCATCCTCACTTCACCTTTAGGGCACCATGGTCTCCATTCTGTCAAAACCATGAACATTTGCCTGAAAATGTCCATTTATACCAATGTCTTCTTTAGAATGGCTGATGAAGGGCAGTTTCATTTAAGACAGTATTTCCCAAACTTGGACTGCACATCAAAACTCCCAGTGCTCAGACCCTGGCCATTGTTGTGCGCGTGCGTGCGCGCGCGCGTGTGTGTGTGTGTGTGTGTGTGTGTGTGTCTGTCTGTCTGTCTGTCTGTCTTTACAGGCTCTCCCAGTCAGGGTAATGTGCCTCCAGGGTTGAGGACCTGGTTTAAAGACATTCAATCCTAATCAGACCTTCTTACACTTCTGATTCTATTTTCCTGGGTACCACTGGCAGGTTAATACAATACCTAATTATGATTTCTTGCAGTGAACAGCTGGATGATGAATTAGATAACCCTCCAAAAGATCTCACATTTTTTCAAAATTATTATAAGTTCATAGATTGAGATAGATGGCACTCTGTGATCTCAGCATTTTATGGGATTGGGAAAAAAGATGCAGGTGACAATGGCAACAGACAGGTAAATGGGAAGAGGACGTCTGGAAATGGAAGCCCTTCACAGTTTATCTGATCAATTTATGAGCTATTTGAATTTTGAGAACGTAAAGAAGACATGTAAATTACTTAGTCTGTATAAGTAATAAAAACATCTGAGCACATTCAAAAGTTTAAGTGATTATTTCTGACAAGGGATGAGCGAAATTGTGAGGTGGGGGATATGGGATTTTTACTTAGCACATTTTAGTCATTTCTGAATTTTTTTAATGAGCATGTATTAATTTTATAATAATTAGCAAAATAAAGTAATGCATAGACATGTAAGCGTATACAGTGACAGAATAGGCAAAAATACCACTTAGTAATGCTCTGGGTACCTTAAATAACATTCTAAGATTAACGTTACTGGGAAAACATGCACCATTACTACTAGTTAAATATATTTAAGTAAACAATAATATCTGCATTGTTTTGTTCCACCTGTTGCTAACTTTTAAAACATAAGATAATAAAGATTCTGCTGTGGAATTCAATATCTAATGGGATTTTTTTTAGAATGTCTGTGAATGAGACAGGGAATTGATGCTATTCACTTTATAAATGCAAAGTCCAACGCATAATAATGTTCCTAATGTAATTCCCTTGCCTAGAAGACTTTTCTCAATTTGCTATGAAAATTTTTTCATATACTCATAATTCATAAAGGAATGCATGAATTTAAATGTCTCATTCTTTTGAAAAAATAATTTTATTATAAGAATGTGTATGTCTTCCCTTATATTATATATTCTGAACTCTAGTGCTTGTCCAAATGACCTGAGGTGCTGTCACGCACTAAATCTGTGAGAGGGGCCTTAGAAATCCTCATTTCAGTGCAGATCAAGCTGATTTGTGCTCTTGGTCTTCCGCCTGCTCTTTGAACATTCTTCAGGCTTGTGGATAAATCGTGCTGTTTTTCCTCTCCCTATTTTATTTCAAAACTTTTCAGAGAGGGAAAAGATTTTAGGAGAACAGTTGACTAGGGCTAACCTCCAAAGGGAGAAATAAGTAACAAACGTCTTCTGTGCTATCACTCTGAATGTCTTCAACGTGAAAGCTTGTGTCTCAACATCAGACACAGCAGAAACATATATTATGTAGTTTTAATATTTGCCTCAACCCTGTGAAGTGTTTTTGTGCCCACCGTAAAACTGAGGATAACAAAAATTATAGAGCTTATGTGCCTAAAACCACACAGCTAGAAGGTGACAGAGTAAGGATTTAATTCTATACTTTTCTGAATCAAAAGCCCATAATTTAGCTAAGCCATCAAAGGCCTCACTCCAACAGAACGTGAAAGCAAACAACTCACCCTAGAGGAAACCTGATATTTTATCTGAGGCTTGTTTTTCCCTTTTTCTCATAATTTATATTTAAAATCTTTGACACATCTGAAAGTAATGCAACTTAGATTATTACTGAGCTGGGACACAACTCTACCAGGTGACTTTTATAGACAAAAGGATTGTTCTGTTGACTTCACGTTTTCGCAAAATTACTACGGCGGAAGGAAAATAAAAGACAAAATTTCAAACATCAATAGGACTCCTGCGTATAAACGGAAACCTAATAGAGGCATAACGTGGAAGAATATGCCATTAGATCATCAAATATATGAAATACCTACAAGTAAAATTAAGGTGATGTGTCTTAAGTGATAAAAATCAAAAAGCCTCAATTGTATTTTTCTTTTCTTTGAGACGATGATTTTCAAACTCAATGAGATATTCAAAGATGGTTTAGAAATGTATTCTAACCAAGATAATTTATGGAGTTAATGAATTAAAGTTTTTCACAGGATTTTAAGTATTTTCAAAGTGCTTCTAAAGTTTATGAAAAAGTGTAATAGCATTAACTTCTTTTGCAAATAGTAATTGAGCAACTCATCTATGAAAGCCAAGATGCATAA